CCCCGGCTCTTCACGGGCGCTCTGACAGAACTACTGCAGAGGGGCTGCGGGCTCGGGAGCGCTGATTGGCTTCCCGGCAGCCGTCCCCTCTGACTGGCTCTCCGAGAAGTTCCCTAGCCTCCCTCCGCCTTCACGCCGCTCATTGGCCCGCGGCCGCGAGGACTTTTCCCTCAAGGATTGTTTCTTTGGAAGCGGCCCTTGCTGGCTGCCTCTCTCCGGGCGGGAGGCTTCGGCGGCGGCGCCGGAGCCCCTCCCCTCCTCGAGCTCGGTTCTGCCTGCTCAGCCCCACTCCTCTGCAGGCGGGTCAGCGTCTCTTCCAAGGGGCCCGAGTCTCGCCCCCCCCCCCCCCCGCAGTAGCTGCGGCGGCGACCGCGCCTCGGAAGTGAGGGGGTCGCAGAAACCGTTCCCCCCTTCCCCAGTGGGGAGACACCCCTAGTTCCCGGCGAGGCGGGGGCCGCCTTAATGCCTCCCACCTTGCCCCGCCCCGCCGTCAGGGCGGACTCGTGAGCCTCGTGCCCTGCGGGGCTCATGGGGTTCTTCTTCAGTAGCACCCCTCGAAGTGGCTCCGGAAAGAAGAACCCCAGGGGGCCTGAGGCCTCTTTAGCGCGGCTATTACCCTCAAGGCGGAGGCGCAGGTGGCAGGCCCGACGGCCGCCTGGCACCTTGCTTCTGTGGTCACTGAGGGTCCGAGCGGGGAGAGGTGGGGAAGGAATGCAGCCCCTTACCCCCCCCCAAGAATGGAGCCCTCAGCAACCTGTGAAGCCAGGAGGCCCGACGGCCTGGTGGGCAGTGGTGAACTTCAGACGTGTGGGGAGAGGCTTTGCAAAATGCCACTGAGCCACTGCAGCTTGGCTCGGCAGAGCTGCGGGGGAAGGGGGAGCCCCGGGATGGACCCCCGCCAAGTAAAAATCAAAATGTAAAGTTGCTTCCAAATCATCTGCCTTCGTGCCTTCTGTGCCAAAGTCGGAGAACCTTAGGGTTTCAGAGGGGGAAAAGAAACCTCTGGGGATGCAAGGCGACCCCAGGGAGCGACCACACATTTAGCCACTCATCTGCCCCAACTTCTAAGTGTGAAATAGTTGTCTGGAAGAAAACCATTTGGTCAAACTCACTCCGAGCAGTTTTAAAGAGATAGTTGGGAGCACCTGGAACTACCAGGTGGGAGGGAGGAATGGAGCTGAGGGGGGACATCTGAGGTTGGCAAAGTGAAAAAGAGAAGAAAGGGGGTCGAACACCAGAAGGGGAAGGGAAGGAGGCTGGATGCCAAAGAAGGGAGGGAAGGTCCCTGGGCACAATTGATGGGAAGGAGAGGAAGGGGAGGGGGCTAGGCACCAAAAGTGGGGAGAAAGCAAGGGGGCTAGATGCCAAAGAAAGGAGGGAAGGCCCCTAGGCACAACTGAAGGGAAGGAGAGGGAGGTGCGGGTACCGAAGATAGAAGGGAGGGTCTGAAGATTGCCCACTTCATAGTGGGACTCAGCCCCTGACCCTGCTTTACAGGTTGAGAAATTGAGAAGGCCAGTACAGAAAAGGCAGTCTGGGGGCCTGGATTCTAATTAACCTGTGCTACTTGCTACCTCTGTGATTCTGGGCAACTCCTTTCAAGGCCTCACATACCTACTTTGTAAAATGAAGGGGTAGAACTAAATGATCTCTGTAACGTCCCTGCCAGCTCTAAAATCTATGTTTTGTTTTCTACTTTTTTTCACCTGTGGAATTCAGATTCAATTACCAGTGAGCAGGTGGGAACTAATTGGCATTCCTGGACACCAAAGAGAGGAGGATGCCCTGTGCCTGAGCACCATAGGGGACAGGCACTAGGGTTCTTAAAGCCCCTTACAATTTGGTCCCAAGCTATCTTTCCAGCTTCCTTATACATTATTCCTCTTCCTGACCTCTATATTCCAACAAAATTGGACTTTTCTCACCCATAGAACTCCATCTCCCATCTCCTTTCCTTTGCACTAGCTGTGACCCATGCATTCTCATTTCACCTCCAGCTCACAGAATTCATCGCTTTCTTCAGTATGTGAGCAACAATCAATCAATGAACATTTACTAAGCACCTGCTATGTGCCAGGCACTGTGCCAAGCACTGGGGATACAAAAAGAGGCAAAAGACAGTTCCTGCCCTCCAGAAGCTTACAATCCAACGGAGGAGACAACATACAAACAAATATATACAAGGATAAGTAGGAAATAATTAGCAGAGGGAAGACACTGGAATTAAGAGGGGTTGGGGAAGAAGTGGGATTTTAGTTGGGACTTAAAGGAAACCAGGAAGGTCAGTAGTCAGAGCAGAGGAAGGAGAGTGTTCCAGGCAAAGGAGACAGAGCGAATGTCCTGAGCCAAGAGATGAAGTGTCTTGTTTGTGAAATAGCCAGAGGGCCAGAGTCACTGTATGGCAGAGGAAGTGTCAGGGAGTAGTAGTAAGATGTAAGAAGACTGGAAAGGTGGAAGGGGGCTGGGTTATAAAGGGCTTTGCATGCCGAAAGGGAGCCACTGGAGTTTACTGAGTATTGGGGTTGACGTGATCAGAACTGCACTTTAGGAAAATCACTTTAGTGGCTGAATAGAGGATGAATTGGCGTGGGGAGAGACTTGAGGCAGGCAGACTTGCCATCAGGCTATTGCAATAGTTCAGGCATGAAGTGATGAGGGCCTGCACTAGGGTGGGGGTAGTGTCAGGAGAGAAAGGGGCCCATTCAAGAGATGCTGCCAAGGTGAAATTGACAGGCCTTGGTAATAGCTTGGATATGGGATGAGGAGTGAGAGAGTGAAGAGTCAAGAATAACGTCTAGGTCGAAAGCCTGTGGGACTGAGAGTCTGGTGTTATCCTCTACAGTAACAGGGAAGGTAGAAGTGGAAGGGGGGCCATTGGGGGAAAGGATAATGAGTTCTGTTTTGGATATTTTGAGTTTAAGATGTCTACTGGACATCCCGTTCAAGATGTCTGAAAGGCAGTTGGGAATGCAAGATTGAAGGTCAGCAGGGCAGGAAAGGTATATTTGGCAATCATCAGCATAGAGTTGTTAATTAAATCCCTGAGAGTTGATGAAATCACCAAATGAAATAGTATGGAGGGAGAAGAGAAGGGGGCCCAGGGGAGAACTCTGAGGAATACGGATGGTTAAGGGGTGTGATCTGGAGGAAGATCCAACAAAGGAGACAAAGAAGAAGCAGTCCGATGGGTAGGAGGAAAACCAGGAGAGAGTGGTGATCCAAAAACCTAGAGAGAAGAGAGTATCGAGGAGGAGAGAGTGATAGCAGAGTCAAAAGCTGCAGAGAGGCCAAGGAGAATGAGGACTGAGAAAAGGCCACTGGATTTGGCAACTAAGAAATCATCAGTAACTTTGGAGAGAGCAGTTGCAGTGAATGAGGTCTGAAGCCAGATTGTAAGGGGTTAAGAAGAGAGTGAGAAAAGAAAAAGTGAACACAACATGATCCCCACTCCAGTTCCCCCCTCCTCCCTCCCTAACTTCTTGTTGTTGAGTCATGTCTGACTCTCTGTGACCCTCTTGGCAAAGGTACTGGAGTGGCTTGCCATTTCCTTCTCCAGCTCATTTTACAGAGGAGGAAACTGGGGCAAACAGGGTGAAGTGACTTGCCCAGGGTCACCCAGCTAGGAAGTGTCTGAGGTCAGATTTGAACAGGAACAGGAAGATGAGTCTTCCTGACTCCAATTCTAGCACTCTATCTGCTGTACTACCTAGTTGCCCACCCTCCCTAATCACTTTGTACTTAACTTGCCCTGATACCCCCTTGGTGGGTAGTCACCAACCTTTACTACTTGTCTATTCTTCAGTTCATAGGGTGATGAATTAAAGCTAGAGGGGACCTTAGAGTCACTCATTTTACAGTTGAGGAAACTGGGGCCCAGAGAGGTTACTTATCTAAGGTCACACAGATAGGAAGTGATGAAGACAGGGTTCAAATCCATGTACTCTGACTCCAAATCTAGTGCTCTTTCACCTGAACTAAAGTTAAACATCCTCACAATCAGAGCAGAAATGGGCCACCTCTGGAGTTCTTTCAACAGAGGCCATGCGACTGTTTGACTGGAACCTGAGTAAAAGGTAAAGGTGTATGTGAGGCTAGATTGCCTCTGAGAATCCATGGGTGAACGGGCTTGATACACTCATAAAAATGTAAAATTGAAGGGAAAGGGAAGAGTGAGAGGCCCAATGAAGGGTAGCAGATAGGCACGGTTTTAGGCAGGGGTAAATAGAGGCAAGCACAAGGTTGGGCAGGAAATCTAGAAGCAGGGAAGCAATAGAAAATGACATTCTCTTCCTCCATAAACCTCAGGACACTCGCTATTCTCACCATACACTCCAGCCTAGCTAGAGGCGAGTGTCTAGATGCTATGTGACCTTGCAGCTCTCCCAC